GGGTGGGTGGTAAGGTAGTTGTCAATCAGTACAGTGTGGTCAGAAATGAGCTTAGGTGAAGAAATCAGGTGAGTTGATTCTATGTGTAGACATCTGGGAGGAATAGCAGTGCAGAGATCAAGAACAGTCACAGCAAGAGCCTAAGAAAGAACCCTCTTGGCATGTTCCAGGATCATCAAGGAGGCCAGTTTTGTGTGGAGTGAGCAAAAAGAAATGTAATAGGAGAGGGGTCGACAGACCTTGTAAATGTGGATACCTGACTTTACCTAATGAAATGAGTAATGGCAAGAATTGATGTGGTTTAAATAGTTTATTCTTGATAATATATGGAGTGTAAGGTGACAGGAAGATCAGTTAAGAGATTTACCACAGAAATCCAGGGTGATAGCAGTAAAGATGGGTGGTAAGAACTCAGGTTCTAGCTAGATCTTGAAGGTAGACCAATAGGATCTCATGACGTTTGATGTGGATGTTTTGACTCTCTATTACTATGTACACTATTAACAATCTTAGTGGTTAAAATCAAAACTTTTATCTACTTAATTCTATATGAAATTTAAGCAAGGCTCAGCTCAGCAGTTCTGCTCGGCTGTATTCAGTTGGTACAGTGGAATGAAATAGTTTTAAGTATGGTGTCTCAGATTTTCTTCACATGGCCTCTTTTCCCATGGATGGATTACCCAAAAAGCAAAGTAAGCACAGGTTTACTTATTAATCTGTGGTGAAGAATTTGACATTGGTTTTTGGTGAAAAATGTGAAAATGTTCACTACAAATTAGTAAACTTATCTTGCTTGATGCATTAAGACACTAATTACCAAAGACCAGAAGAGGTGTGGAATGACATCAAGAACATCATACAGGAAGAAAGCAAAAGATCATTAAAAAGTTAAGAAAGGAAAACCCAAAATGGATGTCCAAGGAAATTTGCTTTCCAGTGTACACATGGTAAAGCGGATGAAAGAAATGAGGAAGTAAAAGAGCTGAACAGAAAATTCCAAAGGGCAGCACAAGAAGACAAAGTTAAGTGTTGTAATGAAATGTGTGAAAACCTGGAGTTAGAAAACCCAAGGGGGAAACACACGGTCAGCATTTCTCAAGACAAAAGTACTGAAGAAAAACATTCAAGTCTCGACTTGTAATATTGAAGGATTCCATGGGCAAACTATTGAATGATGTGGAAAGCATCAAAAGAAGATGGAAGGAATAGAGTCACTGTACCAAATGGAAATGGTCAATGTTAAACCATTTCAAGAGGTAGCATTTAACCTAAAGCAAATGATCCTGAAGGAAGAAGTACAAGGTAAACTGAAGGCACTGGCAAAGAACAAGGCACCAAGATTTAATGGAATACAAATCAAAATATTTCAACAAACTGATGCAGCACCAGAGGTACTCACTCATCTATGCCAAGAAATTTGGGAGACAGTTGCCTGGTCAATTGATTGGAAGAGATCCATATTCGTGCCCTTTCCAAAGAGAGGTGGCCCAACAGAATGCAGAAATCATTGAACAATAACACTCATACCACATACAAGTAAAATTTTATCAAAGATAATTTAAAAATGGCTGTAATAGTATATCGACAGAGAACTGCCAGGAATTCAAGATGGATTCTGAAGACAGCATGGAACTAGGGACATCATTGTGTCAAACGGATCTTGGCTGAAAGCAGAGAATACAGGAAAAAATGTTTGTGCTTTATTGACTATGTCAATATTTTTGACTGTGTTGATCATGACAAGCTATGGATAACATTGCAAAGAATAAGTATTCCAGAGCATTTAATTGTGTTCATGAGGAACCTATATACAGAGTAAGAAGCAGTTTTTCCAAGAGAACAAGGGAATACTGAATTGTTTAAAATCAGGAAAGGTGTACACCAAGATTGTATTCTTTCACCATATTGTCTGTATGCTGAGGAAATAATCTGACAAGATGGATTACATAAAGAATGTGGCATCAGGATTGGAGACTTATTAAATCCTGCAATATGCAGATGACACAATCTTGCTTGCTGAAAGCAAAGGGGACTTAAAATACTTACTGATGATCAAAGACTAAAGCCTTTAGTATGGAATGCACCTCAATACAAAAATTCTCACAACAGAACTAATAAATGTTTTTTGTTGTTAAGTGCAGTCGAGTCGATTCCGACCCCTAGCGACCCTGTATAGGGTTTCCCAGGAGCAGGTGGTGAGCTTGAACTGCCGATCTTGCAGTTCTTATGGCTTTGTTAGGTGTCATCAATTAGGTAATGACTCATAGTGACACTATGTACAACAGAACAAAACACTGCCTAGTCCTGCACCAACCTCACAATTGTTGCTACACCTGAGCCCACTGCTGTTGCCACAGTGCCAGTCCATCTCATTGAGGGGTCTTCTTATTTTTCTTTAACTTTCTACTTTATCAAACATGGTATTTTTCTCCAGGGACTAGCCCCTCTTGATAATAAGTCTGTAGTATGAGAAGTGAAGTCTGGCCATTCTTGCTTCCGAGGAGTATTCTGACTGCACTTCTTCCAACACAGATTTATTTGTTCTTTTGGCAGTCCATGGTACTTTTAATACTTTCCTCCAACATCATAACTCAATCGTATCAATTCTATGGTCTTCCTTATTCACTGTCCAATTTTTGCATGCATGTGAGGTTACTGAAAATACCATGGCTTGGGTCAAACGTACCTTAGTCCTCAAACTGACATCTTCAAGAGTAAAGAGGTATTGTGCAGATTTGCCTAATGCAATACGTCATTTCTTTTTTTTTAATGTTTTATTGTGAATTATGTTGATAGTTTACATGGGAGAACATTAGTTTTACATTCATCCTATCATATATTGTTTCATTGCCATGGTTACAATCCCCTCCATGCAACATCAACCAACCAAAGGGTGTATCCTACAAGGCTGCCCCTCCCCCGCCCCCAGTCGTCAGCACACAGCCCCTCTCTCCCTCTCTGGGTCTAAAGTCCCCAGCTGCTCCATCTCTCCACGTCATCTTCTCTGCTTCCATCTCAGGTATCACTGCTTCTCTGGGTAGGGTCCTGCTTCCCACTCTTCATGGTCCCAGGGACCTCCGCTCCTAGACTGAAAAGTCAATCACTCCCCTCCTTTGCTACAAAATGTCTATGTTTACATTTCCAACCCTTACAAGCAGTCCTGATAACAATTATTCACTACTGTATCACAAGAGACCTATCTGCACTTCCTTTCACCAGCTCCACCTAGACCATCATTTAATTTCTTGATGCTGCTTCCATGAGTGTTGATGGTTGAGCCAAGAAAAAGAAGTCTTTGACAACTTCAATCTTTTTTCCATTTATCTTGATGTTATTTACTGGTCCAGTGGTGAGGATTTTTGTTTCCTTTACATTGACGTACAACCAGTACTGAACACTGTGATCTTTGATCTTCATCACTAAGAATTTTAAGTCCTCTTCACTTTCAGCAAGCAAGGTTGTATCATCTGCATATTGCAGGTTGTTAATGAGTCTTTCCCCAATCCTGATGCCCTGGTTTTCTTCATATAATCCATTTTCTTGGATTATGTGCTCAGCATGAATAAGTATGGTGAACCAATAAATGACATCATGATAAATGGAGAAAAGACTTAACTTTTCTTAGATCCACAATCAACACTTATACAAGAAAAAGCCAAAAAATCAAATGACTTATTGCATTTGGCAAATGTGCTACACAAGACCTCTTTAAACCACCCCTTCAGGCACTAGGTGTCATACCTAGTTATAATGGTAGAAGCCAGAGATACTGTTTTTTGATATTCAATGATGGAAAAACTTTACAAATAATCCAAATTCAATACTTGGTGTTAGGTGCCACTGTCAATTCCAACTCATAGTTTCCTAATGAGGCTTTCCTCAATTCCTTGGTCAAAACTAACTGTACTGTAACAAACAATTTCAAACAAACATTTTATAGTACCTAACATATTGTTTTGTATAATCAGTATGCATACATCCATTTTTCTACTGGGCTGTAAATTTTCTGAGGGCAAAGGTCCATGTCTTATTGTTGAAGCACTTAAGTTCTAAAACTACTCTAAGTACACCAGAGACATTTAATAAATACTTATTCCCGGGCTACTAAGTTGCCCACAAAGTAGAGCTAGAAGTGAAGTAAAAATACAACACATACACAAATCTGAAACGAGGAACCCTTTTCAATTCTTAATGCCAGGAAAGCTCTTTCAAGCATTAGTTAGTGTTGGAATCTTTGTACACAAAGCATGTGGCAAAATAAGAAAAGATCCAGATAAGGAAATCAAAATGATTAAAATATAAATAAGAATGGAATTGAAGATATACATCCCAGAGAATGTACTGGGAGTAAATTCCTACTCTATCTTCAAACGTGTGGCCCCAGAGAATTTAAAGAATATGAGCATGTATATAGATATGTATTTCCCATCTTCACAAGTACCTACACAGAATGAAACCAGCAAAATTTCAACAAGAGGTAGTTCATTAAAAACAAATGATCAAAACAAAAGAAATTTCAGTCAGTACATATTTCAAAGAACCCCTGCCCTAAAAAGATACAAAGCACAAAAGATTAATGACAGTATGAATACGTTTATAAAGCAGTTGTAACTTTATATACATTTTTTTCTTATAAATGTAGAATTGCTTATAAAGGAAAATTTAAAGTTAAAAAGCAAACATTTACACTTTGCTTAACAGATGCTTAACTATACTACCAGACATTCTTAGTCCAAAGGGTCAAATAAATTTCTATTCATCTAAAAATGTTCTGGAAACATATAGTTATAATAAGGACACAAAAATACATAAACAACAGACTTTAAACAATAGACCAGTGTTAATATTTGAAATAATTGGTAATGGTATTATTATTTATTTTTAAAATAAACTTAATTGCGAAATATAATAAAATCAATAGTCTTTAATACTCAGGATAGATTGTATGAAATGCAGAGGGAGAGTGCTATTACTTTTTTTAAAGTGGACTATGTAACAAATTTCCAAAATTAAAGTATTTCACTATACTTTATTGATATAAATACAGCAAATCACATAAGCAACAGCTTCCAAATTATTACCACACAAGAAAAGCAAAGTCAAAATAATGAACTATTAATGCATACGTAAATGCTTTCATTTCAACAAAACTGTCTATAACAAAACATCCTACATACTTGGTACTGTTTGCTTATAACTGATTAAATATTTGAAACCAAGCAAAGGTGAATTTTAATCAAACTTTTATTTCTCAGTGGAAAATGCTCTCTTCATCAGAGGTGGCTGAGCTTTCCCAACATCAAACATCATCTCCAAAGGTGGGTTGTTGAGAGAACACCAATCTGGGATGCGACCTGTCTGATTATAATACTCTTTTGAGACTGATCGGCTTCCTAGTATGTCTTGCAGTGCTCCAAAAATAGCTCCTGTGTGGTAAAAATATTTTTACAGCTAGAATGAAAACTTTGAACAGAAAGCTTTATATACACATATATCAACTTCATTATAAGACAAGAGAGAAGTGGTAATATTCAGCACTGCGTAATCAGTCTTCAAATTAATTCCAGAAGTTATTCTGTATCCTAGTTTTGACTGATCGAGTAAGCTGTAACTCCTGTTGAGAGTAGGAAGGGCCTTTGTTGTTGTTGTAGTATTGATTTTCTGAGGAGCAGCTGGTGGGACTGAACTGCTCACCCTGTGGTTAGCATTCAGTGCTTATCCTACAGCACCACACCAGGACTCCAAAGGATCTTTAGCAGATTAACATGAATATAATAAGTATCTAAAAGTAGGTGGAGTAGAAGGGATTTTCAACTTTAAATAAATACAGCAACCAATAAGATCCTTCATTTTTTGGCATAATTCTAAGATTACAGTACTTTAATAAATAAAATGGCACTATAAAACTCAGTAAGCATAAGGCTTTACAAAGATCCACAAGGCAGTCTTTAAAGCTATTTGTCTTTAATCAAAAATATATTTTGAGTAACTTCTACTCTATAACAAATTACACAACATTCACTTTTCTGAGTATATCAACCTGATACCAATTAGAATGAATTGTAACAGCATTACATATATATGTTGTTGTTAAGTGCTATTGAGTCAGTTCTTACTCACAGTGATGCTATATAGGATTTCCAAAGAACAGTAAGTGGGTTTGAACTGTCAACCTTGTGATTAGCAAGGCAGTGTTTACCCTTAGCAGGTCGGTGCTTATCCTACAGCACCACACTAGGATGCACATATACATGAGTCCTGGCATGGCATTGTAGGATAAGCACTAGCCAGTTAACTGCAAGGTTGACAGTTCAAACCCACCAGTGTCTCCTTGGAAACCTTATACAGGGTCAATGTGAGTCAGAACCAACTTGACAGCACTTGACAACATCATATGTTGTTGTTGTTGTTGTTGTTGTTAAGTGCTGTCAGGTCGGTTCTGACCCATAGGGACCCTGTATAGGGTTTTTGAAGAGTAACTGGTAAGCTTGAACTGTTGACCTCGTGTTTCAAATTGACTGCAATAGTGTATCGACAGAGAACTGCCAGAAATTTAAGATGGATTCAGAAGACAGCGTGGAACTAGGTACATCATTGTGTCAAATGTATCTTGGCTGAATGCAGAGAATACCAGAAAAATGTTTGTGCTTTATTGACTATGTCAGTATTTTCGACTGTGTTGATCATGATTTGGAAATCCAGTGCATTAACCTATAGCGCCATGCCAGGACACATACGCATATGTATGGCTCCTAAGTATAACATACACATATATACATACATGTTGTATAATTTGTTATAAAGTATGGTGGTGGTGGTTACGTGTTGTGGAGTTGGTTCCGACTCATAGCAACCCTGCACAGGGCTTTCGAGGCTGTAAATCTTTACAGGAGCAGAAAGTCTCTCATCTTTCTCCTGTGGAACAGCTGGTAGTTTCAAACTGCTGACCTTAAGGCTTGCAGCCTGATTTGTAACCACTACGCTACCAGAGCTCCTTGTTATAAAGTATAAGTTACAAGACCTGAGGTAGCGTAGTAGTTATGAGTTGGGCTGCTAACCCTAAGGTTAGTAGTTCGAAATTACAAGCTGTTACACAGGAGAAAGATGAGGCTTTCTGTTCCCGCAAAGTTTTACAGCCTCGGAAACTCTATACAGTGTCACTGTGAGTCGGAACTGACTCCACAGCACATAACCACCAACACAGCACCACCATACTTTTATACCCACATAGTAAAACCTGTGTAAACTGGAAACCTGTCAGTAAACTAAGTCACATCATATAATGCAACTAAAAAATAGAGACCAGTTTTCATATATAGCTCATGAATTAGTTTCGAAAGTAATTGAAATGTTTTGAGCAAGGGTAATATCACTGAATTAAATTCATAATTGGATGAAGAAATTTAGTTAGAATAATCAGAGTAAATGCCAAAATAAATAGGCACATAATTTTAAATATATAATTTAATGAAAAATCAACGTTCAAAGAAAATCATTTAAGAGTTTACTAAGTGGGCAATTTTGAACACTGACTCTTCTATTCTAACACACCCATTAGTAAGGTTATTCAGCAGCCATTTACTATATAATGATTATACAGAGTAAACAAGGAGCCAGGTGAGCTGCGGTGAACTACAACCCCGGGTGACCTATGGCCCGGGGTGAACTACGACCTGCGACAAGCCCTGACATCCAAGCAAAAGAAGAATTATGGAGGCAGGTTTGGAGCTTCATACCTCAGGGGGGAGACTCAGTCCCAGTGGGGGTGGTTTGGGATGGGAGGTGGGAGTGGGGTGTGCCATTGTATAATTGTTCTGACAAAGGGAATAAGGCAGTCTGTGGTGGTTTGGGGTGGCGAGAAGGGGTTGGGGGTGAAGGTTGTTCATGGGCTGGAGGGCAGGCTTATGTTGGTGTGGGTGGCAGGGCAGACAGTGTACATTGGGAAGTAGGTTGGTAGAGGGGGGACAGAGGGAGAGACACAGGGACGAATGTGGTAGCTGGTTGGGTGGAGGTGAAAGCTGTTGACCATGGAGGGGACTGCATGCGTGTGGTGGGGCAGACTATATGATTCGTTTGCTGTGGTTCTGCTCTGTGTGACCTTCACTCAATTCAAGACAGAAGGTCAAAGGAAAAATAAAGTTACAAAAAGGTTTTCTTGATAAAAGCAACAATCTATGATGGTTATGAGGGGTAGGGGCAGGGACAGAATATTATTCACAGTCTAGAGAATAAATGGGCAATATACAACCACCAAAGGGAGGCTAGCAGAGGGAAGATGAAGGTAGTGGGACACACAGGGAGGAATGCAATAGTTAAAGTGAACAGAAGTCAATATGATTAACTGTTGGTGCGTGGAAGGGATTGCAGCCATGTAATGAAGCAAAAAGTATATCATTTGTTGAATGTAGTAAAAACTGATGGTCTGCTCTGTAAACCCTCACTCAATTCTCAGTAAAAAGTTACAAAACAGAAACAACTAAATTCTTACCTCCCAACCAGGCCACACAGTTAGCCTTTGCAGGTGGAGTATGAATTCGGAATGTCTTCGTGCCAAGTGCTTTTTTATATTTTGGTTTTTCAACCAAGTATCTTATTTCTGCAAGCAATCTGTGGAGAAATCCTGGCAACATGGATGTGCCACCTATGACTACCAAATTCTCTGCTAGTTGCTTTCTTGTATCTATTGGGCACTGTTATTAAAAAAGAAGAAGAAATAATTTGTCCCTGATTTATAAGTAATGCTTGACTGTATTATAGATGAGTTATAGAAATCTGTTATTACCATTAGGTGATCATTTGGGTACAGTAAGGTCTCAGCAAGGTTTTCTTAACAAGTGTGTTCTTCAAACAGCAAATGTAACCACAATTACCATATACTTATATAGAACTTTAAAGATTTGAAAGTATTTAAAAATTTAATACTGTGAAATTAAAAACTTCACAGGACAAATGCTAATATGTGAGTATTCTAATTTTCAGGGTAGAATGATTGAGCTGGGATAAAAGTATGACAAGAAATAAATTATTTTTATTTTCGTTTTTAGTAAGGAAAGTATGTGTATTATATTTTATAATAATCGTCCCTGAGTGGAGTCCTAGTCTGGAGCATATTTCAGGGCAATGATGGTGATTCTGTAGTCATTAAACCAAAGAGACATAGTACCATATGATTTGTGGAAATGGAGTCAATGGGTGATACAAAAGGCTAAAAAAGTTTGCTGATAACCAAAATGCTGGAGGTTCAAAGTCTATCTAGAGGCTCCTCAGATCAAAGGTCTGGCAATATACTTTCAGAAAATCAACAACTGAAAACTCTTATGAAGCATGGTTCTACTCTGACACACATGGGTTTGCCATGAGTTGGAAATGACTTGATGGCAACTGGTTTTCTGTGAAATGAAAGTGCAATGCTATGCAAACCTGCATTTGATAGGGCCACAAGCTACACGTATGGTGATTGTGTGTCATGGAGTAGGTTCTTATTCATAATCACCCTGTATATGGTTTTTTGAGGCTGCAAATCTTTACAGAAGCAGAAAGCCTCATCTTTCTCCCGAAAAGTGGCTGGTGGATTCAAACTGCTCATCTTGCAATTAGCAGCCCTCCTCATAACCCACGATACCACTAAGGCTCCTTGCAAACCACACTTAGTACAAAGTAACACTTTGGGTATTACTGTTCTGAAAAAAACAAACAAAATACAAGAGGTACTTATTATCCTTAAAATGTCTCAGGTACCATGTTTCAGTAAGACTAAACTCATCAGGTATAACATTTAATATGAAAGGTAAAAGTGTATCTAATAGCTAAAGCAAAAATTGACAGTGTAACATTTAAAATTTTTCTTTAAAATATACCTGCATAAGCGAATCCAGTATTAAAGTGGCAACTGATTTTTCTTCATTATCTTGTTCAAAAAGAATTTCCACAACTGAATCTCTGAGATGAAAAACATCATAAAATATAATATGGAGTACACCAACAGTTGTAGTGACGTAATATTTTTAAGTACCAATACTATGCTAATGCAGAATAATTGTTAAAACACAAATTGTTCTCATATGTAGGGAGCACAGTACCTGCCGCACAGGGTACGGATTCAGTGAGTTAACAGAACATTGCCTGATCCATATAAGGCATTTCATAATGATTATCTACTAATATTATTATACATAGATTTATATATACATATCTTATGTTCAATTTACCTCCCCAAGTTGAATAACAAAAAGGATATTCTATAAACGTGAGTAAGACACTACTCCACAAGTATATACATAAAAAAAAAAAAAAAAAAAATCAAAACACCATCTCTTTGTTTTTTAAAAGTTATACACTGCAAAGATTGCTAGTTGCCTATCAAGTATGCATTTTTAGTTTTCCCTTTTCAAATTCAAATCCCACTTTTGGTTAGCATGATCTTTGCGATAAAAGAGTTCTGTATCTAAACTGTAATGGTGATGACACAAATCTGTCATGTGTTAAGTGTCAGTATCAACTCATAGAGGCCCTGTGTAGGGTGTCCGAGGATCAGTTGGTGGGTTTGAACTGCCAACCTTGTTGTTTGCAGTCCAGTGCTGATCCTACAAGGCCACACCACAATAAAATTACACTAACTAGGTATATATATATGTGTGTGTGTGTGTGTATGCGTGTACACACACACATATTACGGAGTTCTGGAGTGGTGCTGTGAGTCAATGGGCTGGACTGCAATGTCAGTTTGAACTGCAAGGTCAACGGTTCAAGCTCACCAACTACTCCTCCGAAAACATATATATATGTTGTTGTTTTTATGTGCAGTGGAGTTGGTTCCGACTTATAGCGACCCTGTATATGGTTTCCGAGGCCATAAATCTTTACAGGAACAGAATGCCTCATCTTTCTCCTGAAGAACAGCTGGTAGTTTCGAACTGCTGACCTTGCGGCTCGCAGCCCGATTCATAACCACTACAGCCCGATTCATAACCACTATGCTACCAGAGCTCGCTCTCTCGCGCTCTCTCTCTCTCTCTCTCTCTCTCTCAACACTTTAATACCAATGGCAATTTCCTGGTTTTGAGATTATACTATAAACATGTAAACTGTAACCACTGAGTGAAACTGGTAGAAAGGTATAGGAACCTCTGTGTACTATCTTTGCAACTTCCTAACAAGATATGTTACACCCTTACTTTTTTCTTTTTTTCACCCAACATATCATCTTTAACTTTTGTATACAAGCAGACACTGGGTTACTAACAAGATCTGTTGCTAAGTGTATCTTTAAGTCAGATTTCTATGTGAGTGAATAGGTGCCTCCAGTTCTTATTAAGCCTGTCTTTAGTGCTCTTGTGGTGCTGCTGGTTACACTAACCACTCTGTGAGAGACAGATGAAGCTGTCTGCTTCCACAAAGATTTATAGTGTCAGAAACCCTCTATCTAGGATTGCTATGGGTCGGAACTGACTTCATGGCAGTGGGTGTGGTTTTTAGTGCAAGAAAAGCTCCATGTCCTTTACAGGAGTGTGCAGCAAGTGAAGGCAACTGGTTCAACCATTTCAAAGTGAGAGTAAATTTACATAACATTAGAGGGAAAGAATGAGTTGTCTAATGTTTGTAATCCAGGGACTTACTTAAATCATGTTCTTCTTTTTAATTTCTCAATTATCTCTATATTAATTACTTCAAAATCAAATAGGACCTTCAATATATTAAATAATTCTTTTCTGTGTACCTTCTAATATAATTTTATAGCTAAAGCTTTGGTCATGCAAATCTTATAAAGCTGGTATGGGTTAGACAAAAATTATAGTTATCAAAAGAATTATATAGGTCTTTAATACCAGTTTATATTACATTACTAGACAGAACAATAATAAAAGATGAATAAAAAATGGTGAAATACTAATGAATCTGACAGATTGAGTTTATCTGGAACAATCTATTCTTTGTAACAGGAAGTTTAAAAAGGGTCAGAAAACTAAGACCTGCTAGCCAAATCCAGACCAAAGAGTTTTGTAAACAAAATTTTATTGGAAAGAGCTACACAAATTCATTTACATACTCTCTATGGATGATTTCTGTGTTAAACAGTAGAATTGAGTATTTGAAGCATAGACCACATGGCTTGCAGAGAAACTTTAATGACCCTTGTATCATACTCCCTGCTCCATTTCAAAGAATGATTGATTGCATTAACTGAATTAGTTCTGAATGATCTTGATGAACAGGAAAGAATTTAAGTTAAAAATATGTTTTTTAATTAAATAATTAATCATGAATGATAAGGCTTAATGAAAAAACACCTGAAATGTTTAATCAGCAATACTGAAGTATGGCTAATACAAACATTTTTAAAAATCCAGAAATTTATTTTACTTCATCATTTTGCTCCTAAAAAATTAAGGTCTCACCTGATTGACCCAAGGACATGTAAAATCTTCTCTCCATCTAATGGGTAGTCAACATTTGGGGGTGGTGTGGGGCGCTGAAGTAAAAATATCATAAGTGTAAGTCTACATGCGTTATAATCTCACTACAAAGAATGTAACTTTATCTGTAACTTACCTCAGTTTTCCCATCAAGGTTAAATTTTGCTGCTTGGATATTTAGTCCACGCTTGAGATCACTTACAATGCAAGTGCGAACTTAGAATAAAGAAAAGGGAACTCTGTTACACTTCGTGATTGAATAGAGTCAACCTACATCCCAGTTAAAACAATTCCATTTAAGAGGACAAGGTGACCATTCATTCCTTTGGATTTTACAAACTCTACCCTAGTGTATTTAAGTTGGCTAACGGCTATTTATTCACAATTGAAAAGGCTGTCTTTATTCATTGAGGAGTCATAAAACATGTTTCAACATGTGTGCAATCTTTGCCACTAAGCCCATTCTGACTCAAGGCAACTCTGTGTAAGGGTTCTGAGGAGAGGTTGGTGGGACTGAACTGTCACCCTTGCAGTCAGCAGTCCAGTGCTTATCCTAAAGTGCCATCCTCATGAACAGATGGATAATTCTAGTTGAACAACATGCTTTGCTGACACATTTATTTATGTCTATCTATTTGTTGGAGTCCTGGTATGGTGCTGTAGGATAAGTACTGGACTGCTGATGCAAGGCTAGTGGTTCAAACCCACCAGCCACTCCTTGAAAACCCTATAAAGGGATGCTATGATTTGGAACTGACTCTTTGGCACTTAATAACTACAGCAATCCATCCATCCATCCATCTGATTTTTTAAAAAATTTTTTAGAGAAAACACAACCTAAATGTTGCTCTCAGTTGCAGTAATTCCCCTTGGTGGTGGTGGTGGTGTGCCGTGGAGTTGGTTCTGACTCACAGCGACAGGGTTTCTAAGATTGTAAATCTTTATGAGAGCAGAAAGCCTCATCTTTCTCCTGTGGAAGAGCTGGCAGTTTCGAACTGTTGACCTTGAGGTTAGCAACCCAATTCATAACCACTACCTTACCAGACCTCCTTAATACGACTTTGGTATTTATTTTTTTTAATGGCATAATAATTTTTTGCTTCCTTGGTACATGCTAAGATTACCACTTTTCTTCTACGATAGTAAATTTTTGTTTTTTAAAACCTTTACACATTTATCTTTTAAGTTAATATTGCAAAGCACTGTTTATAATGATTGGTGATGGTTATATGCTATGGAGTCGGAACTGACTCATAGCGACCCTGTACAGGGTTTCCGAGGCTGTTAATCTTTACGTGAGCAGAAAGCATCATCTTTCTCCCGTGGAACAGCTGGTAGTTTTGAACTGCTGACTTTGTGGTTCGCAGCCCGATTCGTAACCACTATGCTACCAGAGCTCCTTACTATTTATAATGAGCTGCTTTAAATGATTTTCAGAAATAAGGTATAGTTTTTTGAAAGCAGAGATAAAATATGTTGAATGCTAGAAATCTATTGACTTGAATTTCAAACAGAACATATTGGTCATGTATAGATAAAAAGCTAGTTTCTTTCACTAATACAGAGGACATTTGTTGAGAGCGAATCTGTAATATGCTAGACAATGAGCTAGCTGCTTACACATCTACTCTTCACTTATTGACTATTTCATTATCTGCTATTTTGTATTTACATCTTTAAAAAAATTCTCAGGCGGTACCTCTGATGGTCCAGACCCCACACAGTCGGGGACCTGGGGCACCCTCAGGGGCACCCTGAACAGTGTCTCAATGACAAGGCCACAAAATACGCTCTCCCATTTGTACAAAACATCTTCCTTTAGTCACAGAGGTTGCGGGGCAGCAGTGGAATGATGTGAGGTTGTGGGCAGACAAGAGGTGGTTAGGTGAAGGCCAGAAGGTGCTGGGGAGGTTAGTGGGAAAGGCAGGAAAGTGGGAAGAGGGGAAGGGGTCACATGGGACTGTGGGTCAGGGCAGATGCAGAACAAATGGGGTTCCCACCTGTGGTAAGTGTTGGGAGGTGACAGGCAGAGGATGAGTGGGGTGCCTGCAGAGAACAGGTAGTAGTGGTGGAGAGGGGTAACATCTGACTACCACCACTATGACCCACCCCTCTCTCACTCCTTGAGTGTTGCACAGTGTTGGGGAAGGTGTAGTGTTTAAGAGGGCTGACCATGCCACATGCATCCCCACACACTGAACAACTACAACTGGGTATACCCGTGCCAGGGATGGGACATGCTCTCAATTCTCACATGACACCAATTTCATATACTTTGGAATTTAGCCATGTTGAAAAATGAGGAGTGGGTATATGTTTTATATTTCATTCAAGTCCTCATAACTACCTAAGCAAGATAAATACTTTGCCCTCAAGATACTGCATACTTGACTAAGGTTGGAATACTTTAAAGCAATCTAATCAACCAAATTGAAAACCTAAGAATAGATAAACAACAGTTTAAAAAAATTTCAAGTAACTGGTTTTTAAACATAAATGGATTTATACACACTACAAATATAATTCCATAACTTATTTCTTTCTTAACATAATAGACATCCTTCCAAATCAATATATGTAGCTTCTTTCCTTTAATATCTATACGATATTTTTTATTATGAAGTTACCAAACTTCATTCAACATTCCTGTTAGATGGAATCCACTTTCACTTTTAATAAACTAAGCCAGATTGCTTTCTAGTAAGATTTGCAATCCTTTCTAATAGTAATATGTATTCATTTTCCTACAATCTCACCAATAATGGAGGCCTCTATTTCAAATTTTTGCCAGTCTGATGTGTTTCTCTGACTAATGGGAAAGTTAATCATCTTCTCATAAGCTAGAGCCCATATAACAAGACATAACTCTAAATAGCTCACATAAATTAGCAAGTATATCATGCGGGATATGACTGAAAGGGAGGAGAAAGGAAACGATTAATTTTACTTGAGATAATTTAGCTGTTGCAATAAGCATGTGCAAAATGACTGAAATTTCACAAAATTTGAAAAGGTTTTGGGTAATTATATCACATAAACAAGCAATATAATGAAGAGCATGATCTGGTTTGTACCAATAACTCTAATCCAAACAACCTATGCGACAAGGAACAAGTCATTTAATATTTCAGGGCCCCAAGTATACTAGAGTATCTCCAGGTCCCATTTAGGTCTAAGATCTATTAGTGTCTAATCCTTTCTTAAATATTGCAGAATATTAATTTTACATGCCACTCTAAGTAATGAAGAACAGTGTATCTTAAGTGTTTTTCCATTTAGTACATCAAAACAACAGAGAGCCAAATTTGAACATTATCATAAAACACACTCTAGTAAAATAGAAATAATGTATCTCATTAAAGTGAATCTAATATACTTTGAGCCCTATTCTAGAATTTCCAAATAGTAAAATGACTGACTTTATAAAAATGTACGATGAAAAACTAGAGAAAAAAAACACTATATAATGTCAAACCAGTGGTTCTTTTACACAATTTAACTGCTATTACATATTGGGCAAATTACTGGTTCCCCAATCACCTTGTACGTGCCATACATATAATTGAGCAGTTGCTGTAATAAAACATCATGGATAATGCCAATGGTTTCCATAAGTCTGAAGAAAAATAAAAAACTTTCTTTACATTTACCTAAATTTACATATAAATAAAAAGGTTTACATTATTCCATAGCCTTGTTGTTGTTGTTGTTATGTGCCTTGGAGTCGGTTCCGACTCATAGCGACCCTACACAGGGTTTCCGAGGCTGTAAATCTTTATGGGAGCAGATCGCCTCATCTTTCTCCCACGGAGCGGCCGGTAGTTTCGAACTGCTGACCTTGCGGCTCACAGTCCGATTCATAACCACTACGCTACCAGAGCTCCTTTATACGTTAAATATTGAAAAGATATTATATAGCCAAACATGGAATATATATATTCTATACACAAATATATATACATAATATATACATGAGATGTATATATCCTGGTGTGGTGCTGTAGGATCAGCACTGGACTGCGAACCACAAGGCAGGCAGTTCAAACCCACCAGCTACTCCTTGGAAACCCTATACAGGGCCGTTATGAGTCGGAACCAACTCAATGGCACTTAACAATAATAATAATAATATACAGTCTATGTTTGTTTCTTTAAACAACATGTAAGAATATTTAGAAACACACACATGCCAAACTAACACTTAAGGATAAAAGGGACAAAACTGGGAACTTAAGATAAAGATTTACCTTTAATGTCTTCTAGGACACCTTCTGGAATTGAACCTAAAAGAAGAATTTAACAAACAACCTATTAAATTGCATTCACATTTTCATCTTGACAAGATTTAAAAAAAATATATAACTGGTACAATTTTAAAATAAAAAGCCAGAAAAAATTAAGTTTGCTTTTAGGGAAGATACCTCATTTAAAACCAAGCCAAAGCCAAAGCTGAAGCCAGATATGTACAAAAGGGCTACATATCTGGATATGATAGATGTGCAAACCTTATCAAAAAAGCAAGATCTTTAAAATGAAGACTATTGTATAATTAGAAAGATTATTACCAAGAAAATCTTTTATGACGTAAAGAGGTTTTTCTAGTTATATTGTGGCAAGTACTTAGAAGAACTGAATTGTACAAAGATGAATTTATTTTTCTTTTGAAAAAGTGATATTACAAATATGCTTATTTTCCTTTGATAATAACTGGCTATCCATAATATACTAACCTTATATATATTTTAAAAAGGATCAAATGCAGACTTTTAATCTTTTTCTTCATGTTAAGGAAACATATTAAAACGATGAATGAGATTCAAAGAAATCTATGTGATGTAGAAAAATCTTGGAAGGTGGGTGTTTAGGTATGTTACCATTATTATGTAATTTTTGTTACCAAAAATCTCTAATTTTCTGAGTTAGATTCAGAAACAAATTTTTCTAAGTTAAATTAACATTCATCTAAACTAAAAAAGGAGTGCTGGTGTGGCATTGTAGGATAAACACCAAACTGTTAACCACAGAGTTGGTAGTACAACCCACCATTCTCTCCTCAGAAACACTATACAGGGTTGCTATGAGTTGGAACTGACAAGACGGCACTTAATAACAACAAGCTAAAAAAGTTTAATCCATTGTTAAATAAGTAAAAATATTCTGATTAATTTTTAAGAACAAATTATTTACATTAAAGACAAAAAATTACAACAACTGGATCGATACAACTTGTTTGCTATCTCTTTAAGTTATGACAACTACTGAGAGTTAAGTGTCATAATAAATTGAACTTGAAACCACAACTTCAAAATATTAAACTATGTGATTGTATCCTTTGGTTGTTTGATGATGCATGGAGGGGATAGTAATCATTGCAATGAAACGAAATACAATAGGATGAATGTAAAGCTAATGTTCTCCTATGTAAATTATCACTTAATTAACAATAAAACTTTAAAAAAATATACATATTAAGCTATGATTTTGAAATAAACTATAAAGTTTACTTAATCACAATACTTTTATGAGAACAAAAAAAATTCTATGATTAATACAAATGATTTTAGAATTTTTTTTCTCTATTACCTTGTTGTTTCTAGATTCTTACTTTTGTGCGAGGTATACTTTATAAATACATATATATTAAATTTTCATGCTCAAAAATGTTTTTTTCCTGATAGGGCCAGGATGTAATAAAAATGTTTGGAGAACATTTTTGACAAACTGGACCTTTGCTCATGGATGTAGCTGCCCAAAATTCCAACCGAAAGGGAAGGTTTCTTCCTATCAAGGACCAAGCTTGTCTCATCAGCACACTGGGTTGACAGGGACGGGCAACTTAGACTTCGGCTATCAAAATTGCGAGGACATAAAGGCACAAAGTGACTGGCTTACAAGCTTTCAGGAGGGTGGTTAGGGTCAGAACAAGGAGGTTAAGATAGCATCCCCACTGAATAGTTTTCCTCTTGTCCAGATGGGTCTGGTGATGATGGGGATAGGATTTTATGATTCCACTTTGTGAACTGTGATGGTCACAACTGTAAATGTAGAAGAGGTGTAGCCAAAAGGGGGGAGCAGTTAATAAGTCATTTCAGAAACAGAAGGACCATCAAGAGGGAAGAGCATGAGAGGAGTGAATAATCTTAATCAGAAAAGCAGTGATAAGAGATTGTGGCAGAGGCGATGGCACAGAAAGAGCATGAATATAGGCCCATAGACCAAGAAAGCAATGTGCCTGCAGGCAGGAGGCTGGCTTGCAAAATGTGCCCTTTAGACATTTAAACGAATATATATTTTGCATGTAGTATGTGTACATCGAAAAAAAAGGGTAACAGAGGTAAATACTGTTAGCTGATGGTGCATGGAGGGGATTGTAAGCATTGCAATGACTGGGTGAATGTAAAACTGATGAGCTGCCCTGTAAACCTTCACTCAATTCACAATAAAAGCTTAAAAAAAATTTTTTTTTTTTGTGGAAGCAGAAAACCTCATTTCTCTTTCAGAGCAACTGGTGGATTTGAAGTGCCAATCTTGTGGTTAGCAATCCAGTGCTCATCTTACAGTACCACACAATGACTACTAAATGGGTTATATTATTGTTAAGTGCCATCGAGTTGGTTCTGACTCTTAGCAGTCCAGTGCTTACCCTACAGCGCCACAGAAAGACTCCTAAATGGGATATAACAGACTACAATTTAAGAACACGTGTTCTAATTTCTTCACCTTCAGCCAGAACTTGCCTATGAGTAATTGATGGTCTGTTCCACAGTCTTCCCCTGACCTTGTTTTCGCTGATGAAACACAGCTTTTCCACTGTTTCTCCTCACAGATGTAGTCAATTTGATTCTGTGTATGCCACCTGGTGAGGTTTAACGGTATGGTCATCTTTTATGTTGTTTAAAAAGACATTTGCAGTGAAGAAGTCATTAGTCTTGTAAAATTCTATCATGTTATTCCAGCATGGTTTTTAACACCAGGGCCATATTTTTCCAACTACCGATCCTTCCTCTTTGTTTCCAACTCTGTATGAAATCACAGTAATTATCAATACATTTTGATTGCATGTTTGATCAATTTCACACTGAAAAAGTTGGTAGAAATCTTCAATTATATCACCACTAGCTTTGGTGGTTGGTACATAAATTTGAATAATAGTTGTTTTAACTGGTCTGCCTTATAGGCATAATAGATTATTCTCCTATCATAGACAGCATTATACTTCAAGAAAGATCTTGAAATGTTCTTTTTGATGACAAATGTGATTTAATTCCTCTTCAATATGAATAGTAAACCATGTAATTTTCAGATTCAAAATGGCCAATACCAGTCCATTTCAGCTCACTAATGCCTGGTGGTGGTGGAGGTTGTTATGTGCCATGGAGTCGGTTCCGACTCATAGCATACGGTTTGCGAGGCTGTAAGACTTTATGGGAGCAGAAAGCCTCATCTTTCTCCCAAGGAACCGCTGGTAGTTTCTAACTATTGACTATGAGATTAGCAGCCTGACTTGTAACCAGTAATGTCTAGGCTATCGGCATTTGTGCATTCATTTCATTTTTGACAATTTCCAATTTTCTTAGATTCATACTTTGTACATTCCACATTGATTATTAGTGGATGTTGATAGCTGTTTCTTCTCATTTTCAGTTGTGCTCCATCAACAAATGAAGGTCCCAAAAGGTTTATTCTATTTGCGTCATCACAGTCAAGTCTACTTTGAGGAGGCAGCTTTTCCCCAGTTGTATTTTGAATGACTTCCAACCTGAGGGGCTCATCTTCCAGCACTATATCTGACAATATTCTGGTGCTCTTCAGGATGTTTTAATACTTAATACTTTGGCGCTATATGTCATTGCTCCAGTGTATTCATAGGTTTTCAGGGAGTAAACCTTTGGAAGTATTCTGCCTCTCCTTGTTCCTACTGTCTTAGTCTGGAAACTCAGCTGAATCCTGTGCACCATAGGTGACCCTGATCGTATTTAAAATACCAGTGGCATAGCTTCCCAAATCACAGCAACATGCAAGCCACTACAGTATGACAAACTCACAGACAAGTGGTAGATAGTAGTTTATAGTGGGCAAAATTATGAAAACTTGATAGCCAACACCAAACACCTTGAGGGAATGAGTCACTGAGTCTGGGGGCTCAAAACTATCATCTCAGGGATACCATGGTCAATTGGCAAACATAGTCCACAAAGACAATGTTCTACATTCTACTTTGGCAAGTAGAGACAGGGCTTCAAAGCTTGTGACTGGCTAGATAAGGTGCAATTTTTGGTCTTTTTCTCCATCCTGAACAAAGAACAGTGAAGAAAATCAGAGATACTAGGAAATAATTATGTGTGTTATTTGTATCTTTTCCCTTTTTTGTTAGGTTTGCCAATTTTATCAACCCTTTTGAAGAACCAGCTTTTTGTTCTGTTGATTCTTTCTATAATTTTTCTGTTTTCTATCTCATTTATTTCTGCTCTAATCTTTATTATTTCTTTAATTTTGGTGACTGTAGGCTCACTTTGTTGGTCTGTTTCTAATTGTTGGGAAATGCTGTGTTAATGTGTTAATTTTGGTTCTTTCTTCTTTTTGGATGTGTGAATTTATCGCAGTAGACTGTCCTCTCAGCGCCACTTTCGCCGTGCTGCAAAGATTTTGGTATGTTGTGTTTTCCTTCTCACTTTTTTCTAGGAACTTTGTGAGTTAATGTTTTATTTTTTCTACTACTCAGTAGCTTTTAAGCAGGTTGTTATTCAGTTTCCATGTATCTGACTTTATTTCCTTGGTCTTCCTATTGTTGATTTCTAGTTTTATAACATTGTGGTCTGAGAAGATGCTTTGTAGTATTCTGATGTTAGTAAATTTATGAAGGCTTATTTTGTGGCCTAACACATGGTCAATTTTGGAGAATGTTCCATGTGCCCTGGAAAAGAATGTGTATTGTGCTGCTGTTGGATTGAATGTGCTGTTGCTCTGTACATATCTATGAGGTCAAGTTGGTTGATTGTGTTGTTTAGTTCTTTTGTATCTTTGTTGAGTTTCCTTCTACTTGTTCTATCCTTTTCTGAAAATGGCATATTAAAATCTCCCACTATTTGTAGATTTGTCTATTTCTTTCTTCAATTAGTAGGGTTTGCTTTCTATATTTTGGGGCTCTTTCATTGGGAGCATAGATATTTATCATAGTTATGTCATCTTGTTAAATTGACCTTTTAATCATGAGCTAGTGTCCTTCTTTATCTCTTATGCTGGTTTTTGCCTTAAAGTTTATTTTATCAGAGATTAGCGTTACCACTCCTGCTCATTTTCTATTGCAATTGGTTTGGTATTATTTTTTTCCATCCTTTAACTTTTAATGTGGTTTTGTCTTTGTCTGTAAGGTGTGTTTCTTGCAGGCAGCACATTGAAGGGCCTTGTTTTCATATCCATTTTGTCACTCTCTGTCTCTTCACTGGTGCATTTAGTCCATTGACATTGAGTGTAACTATTGATAGGCACGAATTAATTGCTGTCATCACGTTAGTTTATTTGTAGTGCTGCTGGTTCCTATGTTCTACATACCTTCCTGTGCTGAGTTCAAGTTTTTTGTGCTCTTTCTTGTCAGTTTCTTCTTAGTTTTAATGTTTCCATGTTCTTCATGGATCTTCATTTTCTTGGTATGCTGTGAAGTATTAATATTCTTTAAGGCTACCCTATAATCTACTTTTTCCTCCATTTAAGACAGTTTATTTTATCCTGCAATCTACTTGACCTACTCACTACCTGGATCTCTGTTCCTACATTTTTCCCTTCTTTGACACTGTCATTATTTTGATCTTTGAACTGACCTCCCATGTCCTCTGAATTTGTTGTTGTAATTTTGTTCTGTTCTAGACTCTTCTGTCGACTGAGTTCTGGGTGGTGTTGCCACGTCTGTCAATCTCTGGTTGTTGTATGTTCTTGCTGGTTTTCAGTCCAAAGAACTCCCTTTAGGATGCTTTGAAGCTCTGGGTTGGCTTTGACAAAGTACCTTAGATTCTGTTTATCCTGGAAATGTTTTGACTGCATCATCGTATTTTATTGATAGCTTTGTTGGGTAGACCATTCTTGGTTGGCAGTTTTTTTCTTTTAGGGTTTGGTGTATGTCTCCCCATTGCTTTCTTGCCTACATGACTACTGCTGAGAGATCAGAGCTTAATCTGATTTACTTGTCTACAAGGAAATAATAAGTTCAAAGGACTAATGGCCATTTCTCTGACACACAGCCTCCATAACCCTGACATCAAAAAAACTAGATGGTGTCTGGGTACCACTGCTGACCCCTCTGAAAGAGATTCCAATGGGAGGTCCTGGAGAGAGTAGGGAAAAGTGTGGAACAAAACTCAGTAATAACAAAGACCACATTTATTGCTCAGGTAGATGTTGGTAGAACTGCTGCGACTATGGCCCTTCAACACCCTTTGAGCCTAAAGTTGAACTCACTTCCATGGCTCAACTTTCAATAAATGATAAACCTATGAGATCAAACAATAACACAATTAAGAGGTACCACTCCTTAGAA